CCCACCCCCACCCCGGGCACCGCGAAGCCAAAACGAAGCTCGCGGTGGAAAAGCCGGAGCAGACAGCAAGCCCGGGGCACCGGTGCCCCCGCGGGGCGGGCTCCGTGTTTAGGAACCACGGTGGGGCGCACAGCCTTGAAACCCCTGAACGCCAGGAAGCTGGCCTGTAAGAGCCTTTGGTTTTACCTGCATATGTAATAACTGTGTCTCAACAGCCCCACCATTACCAAACACAGCGAAGTTTCACTTTCGCAAACCCACTCGAGGTCTCTGTATTTTAAAACCATCTTCGTTCTGGAGCCGAGTTTGTGCGAGCCCTAGGCAGACTCAGCCCAGAGAAGCGTAAGGAAGCACAGTTGTCACTGAGTGTGGTCTGTGCCGGAGCCTTGATTTACAAAGGCGACTCAGTGATGCCCGGAGAGGCCGATGCCCTGGTAAGAAGATCGTTTTATGACGTTTCCCAAGAGCAGGGGCCCGCGCACCACGCAGGGCCACGCGGGGAGCACCAAGGCTGGTCGGGAGCCGGGAGGGGAGTCCGCGTGGCTCGCAGCCTTAATTGTAGTTTCCCGGAGAGAAGCAGCGCTGGGGAAACGTTTCAGGATTGGCGCAGGCTCTGGGTGGTGGGGCTGCCTCGAGTTGTCTGGTACCGCCCTGGTCGTTAGAGCAAAGCAGTGAACATCGTCTCCCCGAGTGTGGGAGCCCGAGGGAGGAGGTCCTTCAAATCTAAGCTCTTGACTGCTCAAGAAAAGCGTGCTCCGGGGAGCCCCTCGCGCTCTCTAAGAACTGGCTAGTCCTGGGGGGGGTCTCCGCCCGGTTAACAGTGACACAAATGCCAGAGCACCAAGAATACAGAAAAGTGCCTGGGCAGTGTGGCTCAGTGGCTGAGCATCGACCCACGCTCCAGGAGTTCAGGGCATTGATTCCCTTCGGGGCACATGCCCAGGTTCACCCAGGGTTGCGGGCTTGATCCCCAGCAGGGGGACTGCAGGAGGCAGCTGATCAATGACTCTCATCACTGATGTTTCTCTCTCTCTCCCTCTCCCTTCCTCTCTCTCTAAAAAATCAATAAAAACATATTTTTAAAAAAAGAATACAGAAAATAAGGAAATATCATTAATACAGTATATTTCAACAGAATTACAAATTTCAATCACTTCAAAGTTGCAAGTATTCGATGCAGTCCAATGCCCTTCACCAGGGCTCATGCATTTTTGCACGTGTAGGTGAATTTACACATAAAAGCTGTACATATTTTATTGGGGCATTTGTTATTATTCCTTTGCCCTGACTGACATAAGGAGGCAAATGTTTTTATGGAGCCCACAGAAAGTGGGAAATAGTAGATGCAGAGATTACCCTGCTAAGCCCGTAGATATTTGTTGATATATATAACAGTGAAGTTAAACCTGAGAGTTCCCCTGCCTTAGAGCCTTTACCGCCACTTCTTTTCCTCACTTTCTGCTTCTCCAGCCCTTTGTCTCTCTCACTCCCCCTTCTCCACTTTGTCTCCATTCCCTCTCACTTCTGATTGTGGCAACAGCGCCCCCCCACCCCTGCACCTATGGAGATTCTTCCCACAGGGGTCAATGATCCTGCTAATGTGAGTCAGGATGTGTCATTTCTTCACTTATAAAACTCTGGTGTCCCTCATCTCACTCTGGGAACCCTCTAGAATGTAAGACACATGAGCTATATCTCCAGCATTTAAAGCTGTTCCTGGAGCATAGTGAGGATTAAATTAATTTTTGTTGAACGATCTAATTGTATTAAGTTTAATTGCATCACATAAAAATCACAAAATGAAAAATACAAAAACAAAAATTAGGAAAGGTATTAGTAAGCAGTGTACCTGACTGTTCTTAAGTTCATTCCAGTGGAGAAAATGTTTTGTGCTTATCTGTTGCTCAGTTGAGCCTGTGTATTAGTTTTCTACTGCTACATAAAACCAAGTACAGCAGCTTAAAACAACACCCACTTATGTGCTCACAGTTCTGTAGGTTAGAAGTCCAGGCATCCTGCAGAGGGTTCTGCCCCACTCTTCACAAGTCTGTGTTTGCAACTAGAGCTGAGGTCCTTCTCCGTGCTTATACAGAGATGTTGGCCTAATTCAGTTTCTTGTAGTTGTAGCACTGAGGTCACCATTTCCTTGTTCGAGGTCAATGGGATGCTGCTCCCAGCTCCTGTGGCCCCCAGCATTTCTTGCCATGTGGGCCCCGCCATTTTCAAGCCCTCCCTCACATGGAATCCCTCTTGAATCTCTGCTCAGAAAGAACATAGTGTTGGAAGGGTTCACCTGATTAGGTCAGGATTACCCAGGATATTCCCATTTTCAATTCAACTGATGCAGACCTTAATTACAAATGCAAACACCTTCCCAGTAGCACCTGGGTTGCTTTTGATCAGATGTGTGGGAGAAGGTGAATGACCAGAGATTGGTTATTGCAGGCCATCTTAGAAAACTCCCGGCACAGCCTGGTTCTTCCTTTTATTTTATTTTATTTATTTATTTTTAAGTTTATCTTTATTGTTGAAAGTATTACAGGTGTCCCATTTTTCCCCCCAAGTGACCCCTCCACCTTGCTCCCACCCCCTCCCCAGGCCTTCACCCCATTATTGACTGTGTCCACGGGTTATGCATATATGCATATAACTTCTTTGGTTAACCTCTTCCCACCCTCCACTCTCCTTCCCTCTTTCCTCTGAAATATGATCACCTGTTGCATGTGTCAATGTCTCTGGGTCTATTTAGTTTGTCAGATTCTTTGTTCATCAGCTTCCTCTTAAAGAAGACCCTTCAACATTTCCTGTACTGCTGGTCTGGTGGTGATGAACTCCTTTAGCTTTTCCTTGTCTGAGAAGCTTTTTATCTGACCTTCAGTTCTAAGTGATAGCTATGCTGGGTAGAGTCATCTTCGTTGTAGTTCCATGTTTTTCATCACTTTGAAATTTCTTGCCACTCCCTTCTGGCCTGCAAGGTTTCTGTTGAGAAATCAGCTGACAGTTGTATGGGTGCTCCCTTGTAGGTAACTAATTGCTTTTTTCTTGCTGCTTTTAAGATTCTTTGTCTTTAACCTTTGGCATTTAAATTATGATGTGTCTTGCTGCGGGCCTCTTTGGGTTCCTCTTGTTTGGGACTCTCTNTTCTAAATGATAGCTTTGCTGGGTAGAGCAATCTTGGTTGTAGTTCCTTGTTTTTCATCACTTTGAATATTTCTTGCCACTCCCTTCTGGCCTGCAAGGTTTCTGTTGAGAAATCAGCTGACAGTTGTATGGGTGCTCCCTTGTAGGTAACTAATTGCTTTTTTCTTGCTGCTTTTAAGATTCTTTGTCTTTAACCTTTGGCATTTAAATTATGATGTGTCTTGCTGCGGGCCTCTTTGGGTTCCTCTTGTTTGGGACTCTCTGTGCTTCCTGGACTTGTAAGTCTATTTCTTTCCCCAGGTAGGGGAAGTTTTCTGTCATTATTTTTTCAAATAGGTTTTCAATTTCTTTCTTTCTTCTCCTCTGATTTTCCCATAATGCGAACATTGATATGCTTGAAGTTGTCCCAGAGACTCTTTACACTGTCTTCATATTTCTGGATTTTTTTCCTTTTTGCTCTACTGGTTGGGTGTTTTTTGTTTCCTCATGTTCCAAATTGCTGATTTGAGTCTCAGCATCCTCTACTCTACTGTTGACTCCCCATAAATTATTCTTCATTTCAGTTCAAGTAGCCTTCATTTCTGACTGGTACTTTATTATGGCATTGATGATCTCACTAGTTTCCTTAATAGTCTTACTAATATCCTTGAGCATCCTTATAACCATTGTTTTGAACTCTGTATCTAGTAGCTTGCTTGGTTCCATTTCATTTAGTTCCTTTTCTGGAGATTTCCTCTGTTCTTTCCTTTGTGACATGTTTCTTTGCCTGCACATTTTGGCTGCTTCCAGGTGTTTGTTTCTATGTATTAGGTAGAGCTTCTGTGTCTCCTGGAATATGTAGAGTGGCTTTGTGTAGTGGGTGTCCTATAGGGTCCAGTGGCTCAGCCTTCCCAGTCACCTGAGCTGGGCCTTGTAGGTGCTCCCCTGTGTGGGCTGTGTGCACTATCCTGTTGTAGTTGAGCTTTGGTTGCTGTTGGCGTCAGTGGGAGATATTGCCCCCCAGGCCAATCGGCTGTGAGGACCAGCTGCAACTACAGCCAAAGAGCTGCTGTACTGGAGACACCCCTGTGGAGCAGGACTTACTTCAGTGGAGCTTTGGTGTTCACCAAGTGCGCCCCTTGAGTGTGTCACTCGTGGGTTTGGTAGGGTTATAATCCAGCGTGGTTGAGTATCATCACCAGGTGCACTGTCTCTGGGCCCTCCCGGGAGGTGCAAAGTCAGCCTGTGTCAGTGCCTTGCCCAGGGCCACCCCCCTGAGCTACACAGCAAACTGTAGATGCAAGCTACTTGTGCTGGGCTTGGAGGTGTCCAGGAGAGGCCAAGCTAGGAACCTATGCAGGCTGCCACTAGTGCCAGGCCTGGGGCCGCTTATCAAGATATATGGGGCATGCTGAGGCCAGCTGCTGCTTGTTTGAGAGATTTTAGGAGAGTCCTAAGCATGAGGCTCGAGAGGCCACTTGCACAGAAAAGCCACTGGAAATGGCCTGGATGAGCTTGCAGGTGGGGAGGGGCGGGCCCTCTGGGAATCTCGGGGTGGGGCCAAAGGTGTGAGTCAGGTGCCGGCTCTGTGGGGGGAGGGCTCGCCAAAGGAGCAATGGCCTCTGCCAGCCCTTCTGCCTGGGAGGAAGCTGCCCCTCCACCTCTCGCCCCAATTTCAGGCAAGTTATTTCCTCACCAAGTGTCCCAGGTCCTTTCCAGCTGCTGCCCGGCGCTGGGGCTCAGAGGGAGCGCGTCTGAGTGAGTCCGTGTGCAGGCCCTTTAAGAGGAAAGCCTGGGGCTCCCGCAGCCTCCGCGACCCTCAGGGACAGTCCCTGCTGGTTTCACAGCCGGAAGGTGTGGGGACTTCTCTTCTGGGACTGGTACCCTGGACTGGGGGGCCTGATGTGGGGCTGGGACCCCTCCCTCCTCTGGGAAACCTCTGCTGCAATGTCCCTCTGGGTTTAAACCGCGGCACCGGGTGTGGGCCCATGGCGGCATCTCTGCGATCCAGCCCCGATACGCCCGCCCACCCCTCCTACCATCTCGGTGCTTCTTCACTCCCTGGTTGTGGGGCTTCTGTCCAGCCAGATTTCAGGTGGCTCTGAGTGACGGTGGTTCTGTATTTTAGTTGTGATTTTGATGCGGTTGCAGGAGGTGGCGGGGATGGTGGTTACCTACGCCGCCAGCTTGCTGTCTCTCTACCGTTGCTTTTTAATGTTCTAGTCCTTAAATGTCTGGCTCCCATTTAAGGGAGGAAAAAGTGAAAAATGAAGGGGGAAATTTCTGGCCTTTTTAGTTCCTTGAAAGTTGCTTCAGCTAGAGAGGGTGGGCTTGAACAATGGCAGTGAGGGCTGTGTTAGTGGTAGTCCCGCCTCAGTGTCTACACCTCAGCAATCAGTCAGTAATCATGTCAGAGCACAGAGCCCTTATGGCCTACCTTAGCTCCTGAAGACTGTGCAAGCTGCTCCAAGAACTTGAGCATGGCTGCCTGCCATAGGCTGGTGGGTGGTGGATGGTACCTTCTGCCACACAAAGAGCTCAAATGGACTATGACATATTGTTCAAACCATTCCACGGGAGTTACATGCCTTCTAATAGACTCCACAGTCCCAAAATAGTTACATCAGACAGATTTTGCCAGTACAATTGTCTAGGTGTGTAGACAGGCTTCGTGGCATATCCTACTCTGCCATCTTCTTAAACTCCTCTCCTACCCCCTGAGTCTTTGTAAGTTTTATATTCCACATTTTGGGGTGCATGTTTTGTTTACTATGGTCTCCACCACACTTTCTACCTCTTGTTCATCCAATCCAATCAATTGATGTTGTCAATGTAATGAACTGATAATATTCTGTGGGATGTTCAGGTGGGCCAGATCTCCAAAGAGTATCTTTTAGAGCCCAGGAGAGTTAAATGGCACTGAGATAAACTATAAGTAAATACTGTGGTTTGTCCCACATGACTATAAATCATCCCACATCCACTTTTCCAATTGGAATGTAAAAGAATATAGTCACCAGATTTAAAGCTGCATGCCATATGCCTGGGCCTTATTAATCTGATCCAGCCGTGGTACATACACCAGCACAGCAGCTGTACTTAGTACCTCTGCTTGGTTAAGTCTAAAGTGGTCTCATTCATTATTAGGGCCCATCAGGATTCTACAGAGACAGATTGCTTAATTAAATGGAGGTAATAAGCAAAACCAACACCACCCTGCATCCTCATGTCCCTAACGGTGGGTCTAACTTCCATAAGATCCACCCCCCGAGACACAGTACTGTTTCTGATTTGAGCAGGGTGGGACCAGTTTCAAAGGCTTCCCTTTGGCCTCCCATATGTTAGAGCCCTTACTCCACAGACCAGGGACCCAATATGAGAGTTGCTCAAACTGCCAAACATATCAATGCCAATTATCTGCTTAGGGAATGGAGAGATTACTTGAGATATTTAATATACCTAATTATGTACTAAGTGGTTCTGAAAAGTCCTTTTATTTTTCTTGTTTTTAAAAATATATCTTTATTGATTTCAGAGAGAGGAAGGGAGAGAGAGATAGGAATATCAATGATGAGAGAATTGTCATCGATTGGCTGCCTCCTCCACACTCCTGACCGGGTGTCGGAGTCCACCGGCAGAGTTGAACGGTCCTGAGGAAGGGGTGAGGATGGCGAAAGGACAGACACAAAAAAGATGAGATCANAGAATTGTCATCGATTGGCTGCCTCCTCCACACTCCTGACCGGGTGTCGGAGCCCGCCAGCAGAGTTGAACGGTCCTGAGGAAGGGGTGAGGATGGCGAAAGGACAGACACAAAAAAGATGAGATCAGGAGGACTGCAGCTCGTGACTGCTGCAGCCCCGAGTTTATTTTCCCAGCTCAGTTTATACAGGCACTGTTGATTTTGCTGAATAGCACCCCTCCCCACATTCCTTCAAGGCCACATGAATGCTCTTTCAGAGTAAACACTCTGCCACCTGCATGAGCTCAGACCTTGGTAACTATCTTTATCTCAGCTTGTAATGGGAAGTTTTGGGGAGGATTGAGTCCTTGGCTTGGTATGTGGCTTGACTGTCCCTTAACCCTTCAGGCCAGGGCCAGCTTCCTAATAAGCCTTTCTGGAATTTATGGCCGCAAGCTAAATTAGTATCGCCTTGGTGCCTCAAGGTCTGGGTCAGGGAGCAGGGGAGCACATCTGCAGCTCACCCAAGCAGCCCCTCTGTGCCTGGGGCCACAACGGCTCCCCACAACCGGGGATCAAGCCTGCAACCTGGGCATGTGCCCTGACTGAGAATCGAACCGCAATCTCCTAGATCCTAGGTCTATGCTCAACTGCTGAGCCACACCCAACCAGGCAAGTGGTCTGTTTTTGAGCTGGACTTTGGTCAGGACTCTATTTATTACCTGGCCTCTGAAATCCCCATTATAATAGTGGGGGCTTGGCTGATGCTGTGGATGCCGATCCCAACGTAAACATAATGTCTCACAGGCCTTGAAAGTTAAGGTGGTTCTCCTTTCTCCAGTGTACAGTCACCGGAGTAAATGGCTCTAGGCACTTTCACACAAGGACTGGGGAGACTGTCATAATATATACTTTCATGGTGCTCCAATTCCTTCCTCTTGGGGATATGAACATCTCTTCAATCAGAGGCTTTGAATATGAAAATTGGCTCAGTTCTGGCAACTGAGAAAGGGATCATGATGTTTTATGGGGGCAACAACCCTCAGTCTCCTCCTCCTCAGTTCTTGCTTTTTAAAATTGTAGGTGTTAAGCAGCAGCCATGTTGACTAGCCCGCAACATCAACTATCCTAGGGTTGGACCCTTGGGACACCAAGCTGTACTAGCCTGATCTACAACTCCCTGCAAGTCAAGCTCTCTAGGCAACTCCTCCAGAGTTGCCATACTCACTGTGGCCTCCTGAATTCTAAGGATTAACTGCCACCACTCAAATTCTTCAGGGTCATACCCTTCCCACCGATATTAATGAGCCCAACTCTATAACCACTTTCCTACCAGCATCCCCGGCCTTCAGACACAACACCACCCACCTTCCTGGTGATGCCAACACTCTCACCAGCACAATCCTGACACCTTTTGTGAAAAGGGTGTCCTCTGGGTCCCCGTGTGGAACATGACCCTGTGGCCTTATATAATATCTGCACTTCACATACCAACTTCCCTCAGGCTCTTTATCCCAGCTACCAAGGCAACTAAGTCATACCTGCTTTATTGAAAGTTGGACATTGCTTTTTTTCTAGTCTACATAGAGCCACCCCGCAGTGAAACTGCCTCGTACTTGATAAGCCCATGCCTTGGGAAAGTATCCCCAAGCCAATCAACTTTGCTTACCCACCTGACATCCTGGCCCCTTAAACAACTACCTTCAAACTTCAACCTCAAAGTGTGTCTTCAGCTCCTATGTGTACGTGCTGGCTAAGTTCTTGCAATTAGTTGTAGGTGAAGCCTCTTTCCCCCTTATTAACTCCACTATGTCCCCTGCTGGGTGATGCTGGGGTTTAGCCTGAGTTATTGGGCTAAGGAGAGGAGGTGGGGGCAGCTACTGAGTGGGATACGCACAGAGGTGAGAGTGCTGCAACATCCAGCATAGTGGATGAGCTAAACATCACCAGAGAAGGGCAGGCCCAGAAGGTCCAGAAGGCATCCATCGGAATGACCTTGTTCCAGTTTGCAGAATCTTAGGCCCTGACTTTTACCTGACAGCCCTGGCGTGGCTGAGAGTCCAATCATTTCTAGAGTGCTATGACCCTCAGAATTAAGAGTTCAGCAGCCATTCAACTCTACCTTCCCTCCTGTGCATGAGATAAAGGCCTCTCCATAAACTGCTGCAGAGGCTCACACTCACCAGTAGTGATTTGTTAACAATTCTCAGATTCCCGTTATCCTGCCCAGCTTGCAGCGACCATCCTGCTGCCCCATTCTTATTATTTATAAGTGCTTCTATCATCACACTTTCCACAGCAATCCCCCAAACCAGGACATTTTCTCAGGTCACCACCAGTGACATCTAGCAGTTCAGCTGCCACCACATGCTCTACCCACCAACCTGGACAACGTCCTGCTCTACAGGCAGTGGGTGAGCTAGTCCCAAATCCCCATCTCTTTGCCTGTGTCCTGGAACCACTCCTGACACCACTGTGAGGAGCAGACACTAATCCAGTAATAAATATGCAGGATATTAGTAGAGGAAATACCTGTGAGAGAAAATGGGGAGGGAGCCAGGAAGGCTTGGGGAGCCATCAAATCTCAGTGCAAGTCTGAATCCAAATGTAGGAGAGAAAGAAGGAAGGTTGGCTAAGTACCCTAGACCCGGGGCAGAGTAAGGAAAGTCCAGAGAGGAGGTCAGGGAGCCGGGAGCCTAAGTGAGCCTTCAGAGGAGCAAAGGTCCTGCCTTACATAGTTTCCCTGCTGTTCTCAGCCACTGGCCAGATAAGCCCATGGGATGTGTGGCCTCAGCGCAGCATGGCGTTGAATCCAGACTGTCACGGCTGGGACCACCGGTCAACGTGCTTTCTCTCCCTGAGGTCTGGGTGTGCATTCTCTTGGTGTCCACACTCATCTAGTTGAGAGAGAAAAATTAATGATAAAGGAGAGAAAAAGGGAAGAACTGCTGGCCCAGCGGCTCTAAGTAGACGAGAGGGGATGAGACCTCGAGCCCCAGCGGGACTGGCTCTGGCTGGGAGGTGGACAGCTGAGCTGTGGGGAAGGTCTCCAAGCAGATGCTGTTGGAAACCTGTAAAAGTTGTTTTCTGATGTGTTCCGTTTTCTCAGTGAAGCGGAAACAAAGGCCCTGGCAGTAGCAGATGGGGAGGGAGGGTGGAGGTTTAGCAGAGGGCGGCGGCCGGGCCTGTGGTCTGCGGCCTGGCTGCGCCGGGCAGGTGCCACACAGGCAGAGGCACACTCCGCGGGCTGTGCAGTTTTTCCAAGGAAGGTGGCAAAGCAGGGAGAGCCAAGGGGAGGGTTGAAATGATGCGCGATGGCCTTTAGGAGGAGGGAGGGGCACATCGAGGCGTGAGGGACAGGATGGATGGAGGATAACACTGGGATCCCAGCAGCTCAAAGGGTTGTTGGGGTTGATGGAGCGCAGGGTGGACTCGGGCCTGGGCACGGGCGCATGTGTGGTGAATGGTTTGCAGGGTTACGTTACAACACATGTTCCAATAACCCCACCCGTGTGTCCAGAGTTCAGGCCCGGGTGAGGAGGGGGAGGCGTGACGTGCAGGCTGTGGAGGCAGGGTTATGGCCGTGACGGTCTGGGACAGACAGGGCCTGGGCGCAGGGAGGGCCCCAGGAGGTCACCGGGAGGGGAGTCCAGGGGGCGAGCACAGGGCCGGAGCATCCTCTCCGCTGCCGTGAAGTCACCACCAGCCGAGGGGCTGTGACCACGGCCATTTGTTATCTCCGGCGGTGCAGGGCCCACGTCCCGCAGGTCCTCCTGGACAGGGGAAGGCCGGGCAGTCTCGGCTCCCCGCCGGGCTCGGGAAATGCCCACTCGGAGCCCACTCGCTTGGTGGTTTGAATTCAGCTTCCTGCAGGTGGGGACTGAGGCCCCCACTTCCTTGCTGGCTGTCAGCTGGAGCCACCCTGAGCTCCTAGTGGGAGACTTCGTCCTGGAACGTGGCCCCCCCCAGCGTCTCTGCCCCCAGCCTGAGGAGCCTCCGCTTTGAGGGTTTCTCTGCCCCTTTGGTCCACTCACTAACCCACAGTGCCTCCCTGTCCAAGGTCCTGAACCTTAATACATCACCCAAGTCCCGTTGCTATTTAAGGAAACTGCTCACGGGATCCAAGGATCCGGCAGGACAACTTTGGGGACCACTGTTCTGCCTTCCACACCTGATTGTGCTGAAACCACCGGGGGTCAAGGAGGTGGCACTCTGGGGAGGTGACAGGGAGCCGGGAGCTAAAAGGAACAGGGGGATGGCGAGGGGTCCACAGGGAATGCCTGCAATGAGGGGAGTGGGGACTCCAGTCTGAGAACCAACTAGGGGATGTTAGGGAGGAGGGAGGGGACAGGCCAAAGCAGCTGAGGGCCCAGTGGCACAGGTCGGTGGGAGAGGAGACACGCCATGGGAGGATTCAGAGGGAGCGCGTCCTCGGGAGACCAGGCTCTGTCAGGGCTGCAAGGTGCAGGCACACCCTGGGGGAGGACTGCCGGTTTGGCTGACCCTCGCCTGAGAACTGGGGGGCAGGGGGAAGGTGTCCAGAGTAGAGGAGGGGTGTGCGGAGCCTGTGGGGATGGGCTTGCAGGACGTTAGGGGTGACAGACAAGCAGCGACAAGGACAGAATGGGGCCGGTGGTGGCCCCGGGGCAGATGGTGGTGAGTGTGAGGGGCAGGCGGGGCTCTCGCTTGGGCTGTCAATGGGATGAGGGGGTTTGGCTGGTCAGGTCTGAGTTCGTGTGTAGAGCCTTTCTTGACCCCCCAGGGCCTGGGGGAGAAGAGGGTCTTAGTGACGGGTGTGCGTTCACTTGACCCCGAGGTGGGGCACTGCACTCACACCAGGTCTCAGTGTGGCACCTGCTGTTGGAGGTGTGACCCTGGCACCAGGCCCCCCTTCTGTCCTGCTGAGGGGACAGGGGCCCAGGGGAGCTGTGCATTTAGCCCCAGTAGTCCCAAGGCGCCTATCCACACTGTGGGAGACTATGTAGATGTTGAGATGTTTCCAAATAAGAGACGATCTTATTTCAAAAACTGAGTTTAAAAAAATAGGAAGTAGAAAAAAAATGTTTCTACGTTTCAGTTTTCCATGGTGTTGCCGTCAAGGAGATGGAGAGAGGGGTTGCTGGGAGGGAATAGGAACCTGAGCGACGGTACAAGGGCTCCTGAGCACTGCTCTTCTCAAGTGAAAGACATTTACAAGGTAATATAGACATTTTTATATCATGTTGACATTTTATAATATTAGGAAATTATAGTTATTCAGTGTAATAACATTGAAGAAAAAGGTTATTTTTTAAGAGATGAATACTGAAATGTTTAGGGGTGAGGGTCATAATGTTGGCAGGTGATTTTCAAATATTTTAGCTAAAATTATAGAAATAGCTGGACTGGTGTGCTTCAGTGGTTGAGAGCCACCCTGTGCACCAAGAGGTCACCGGTTCAATCCTGGGTCAGGGCATATGCCCAGTCGTGGGCTCGATTCCCAGTAGTGGACATGCAGGAGGCAGCCCATCGATTGATGTTGATTCTCTCCCATCAATGTTTCTCTCTTTCTCCCCTTTCCCTTCCTCTCTCTCAAGTCAATAAACATGTGTTTTTTTAAAAATTAAAAAATGGCTTTTAAAAAAATTATAGAAATATATTACATAAAGAAAATATGAGAGAATATTAAAATGATTAAATCTAGGGTGACCATTGTGTTATTTTTTCAAACTTTAGGTATCTTTGGAATTTTTCACAATAATTTGGAGAAAAATTTTTAAATAATAATGCATAGTGGCATGGAAAATGTTCACAGCATAATGTTGAATGAAAATTAGGCTTTAAGCGTGTGTGTGTCTTTCAGTGTGTGTCAATGTGCGTGTGTGTGCGAATGTTTGTATCGATGTGTATGTGTATGAGTGTCAGTGTGTGAGAGCGTGTGTTGGTGTGTGTCAGTGTGCATGCGTATGGGATGTGTGTGTGTGGGAATGTGGGGGGTCCCTGTGGGCGCAGCGTCCGCCTCAGTGTGAGGCAGTGTGAGTGTGCACTCAGTCATTCAGTCATTCACTCAGCAGATGTTTTAAAGTCAACAACCAGGCCCTTCCAGGGCGATGGAAATGCAGCTGTGAAAACCAATCCCTGCCCTTGTGATCTCAAGGAAGGACAGGCAGTAACGCATTTAAAATGTGTTAGTGAACTGGGTGAGAGCAAAAGCAAAGCAGGTGGGGTGAGAGGGGGCGAGGTGCGGGCAAGGCCACGCAGGGTGGGCTTGTCAGCGAGGACACTGGGGAGACTGTCGGGCGGGAGGCGCCGCCCGGGTGCCAGGTTTCCAGGCCCCGGGCAGCGGCACCGGCTCCGAGGTGTGAACCGGGAGGACCTGTGTCGGCGGGGCCTTAACTGGAAGGGGGCTCGCAGGTGGGACGTATTTTGAAAAGCCCACTCGGGCCATTCCAAGGAGCCGAAGTGGGAGCGTTCCGCGCCCCCAGCCCCCGGGCACCCGGCTCCCGGCCAGAGGTGAGCATGTTACCAGTCTTTCTTGTGTCCTTCCCGAGAAAACTTATACGAACGTTACATTGTTGCGCTATCAAGGAGCCCTGCTGAAAACGGCGGAGGAAAATGTTACTTTCAGGCGCCGTCACGGGGGCTGGAGGGGTCGCCGAGCGGAGGTG